TGTTGGAAACAGCTCACGCAGTGACAGCAGAAAGGCAAGAGACGATTTATTCCCCTTTTGGGAGGTCGGAGTATGTACATCGTTTGTCCTCGATCTCGGTACATCTAATCTAATCTACCTCGATCCAGTGTCCTGGACTGCACTCGACGCACAACGTCCAACACTCCTCCTCAAGCCAGAGATGATGAGAAGAGGAATATATGTACCGAGAAAAATATGCATCATGCTCCTCCTGACTCCCGACCTATGCTCTCTCCTCCTTCGCGAGTCATGTGGGAGCGATGAGTCCTAGTTTTCGTCGCAGATAATGATGTGCTGCCGAAGGGAGTGCTTTTGTCAATATGTCGGCGATGTTCTCCGCTGTTGGGACATAATGGAAGTAAAGCTTCCCCATTTCGACGTAGTCTCGAATAAAGTGGTGTCGAATATCGATGTGTTTGGTTTTTGAATGGTGACCCTGGTCCCGAGTGAGTGTTATGGAAGACTGATTGTCGCACTGTATGACCGTCGCCTCCTTCGGCCCCAGTTCGAGTTGGGTGAGTACGTTTCGTAACCAGATGGCCTCCTTCGCCGCATGCGCACATGCCATGTACTCCGCCTCTGCCGTGGAAGTCGCCGTGACATCTTGTCTCTTCGAGCTCCACGATATAAGACCTGCCCCTACTCCCATCGCAAACCCATATCCCGACGTCGACCTTCTACTCCCACTCGGCCCTGCAAATCCTCCGTAACTTGAATCACAAAAACCATTCAGCTCTATTGGTCCCGCACCTCCTAGTCTGAGTTCGAAGTTTCTCGTCCTCTTGAGATACCTGACGACGTGGATCGCTGCCTGCCAGTGGTTGCGTCCCGGATTTGCGTTGAATTGTGATAAGAAGTTGACTGCGAATGCGATGTCCGGTCGAGTTCCGAGCGCGACGTACATGAGGCATCCGATGAGTTGACGATACGGTACACTGGTCATGTGGGTCTTGTGCTCTGCGTCGTCTGGTTTCGGGCAGTCCTCGAACGATAAACGGATGTTGTGGTCTAGGGGAGTGATGACTGGCGCTGCGTCGGTTTGGCCAAACTGGCGGATGATGTCGTCGATAAGAGCTGTTTGAGAAATGAAGACATGACGGTTAGCTCTGTCTCGTCGAACTCTCAAGCCCACGATCCATTCGACCGGCCCCAATTCCACCACGTCGAAATCCTCTCTCAATCCCCCCTTCACCCGCCTAATCTCCTCTGGCGAATCTCCCAAGACGTTCATGTCATCAACGTGCAAGACGATGATGGACACTCCGGTCGTCGATTTTCGGTGGTATATCGACCACTCGGTCGACAGCCGCTCGAAACCCATCTCCTTCAGCTTCCCATCCAACTTTTTGTTCCAAATCCTCGATCCCTGCTTCAACCCATACAGCCCCTTCTTCAACCTCCACACCCAGTCCTCCTGTCCTGCCTCTTTCCATCCTTCCGGCTGTTCCATCCAAATCTCCTCCTCTAGCTCGCCATGCAAGAACGCCGTCTTGATGTCCAGCTGCTCCATATCCCAATCCAAGACGGCGGCCAAGTGAAACGCCAACCGTTGAGACTCCATACGAGCGACCGGTGAGTATGTCTCCTTGTAGTCGAGTCCCTCTATCTGCGAATACCCTCTGGCGACCAATCGGACCTTGTATCGCACAATCTTCCCGGTCGAGTCCCGCTTGTAGTCGAATATTGGTCTACACCGCACCGTGCGTCGACCCTTCGGTAT